GACTGTGGCTATCATCTTCTATACTGTTCCCCTGGTACCTACTAGATTAAGTAGGCACTCAGTAGTTGTTAAATGAATTATCTCGGGATGAGTTTTCAATTTTTTATTATAAAAATTTTCAGATATAGGGCCGGCCTGGTGGCGCACTGCTATGCTACAGTGCGCCGCTTGGGAGGGCGGCAGCGCTCCCGCCGAGGGTTCGGATCCCACATACAGACCGGTTCCTGCTCACTGGCTGAGCGAGGTGTGGGTGCAACACCGAGGGTTGCGATCCGTTGCCGGACACGAAAAAAGACAAAAAGGAAAAAAAAAAAAAGCTAAAAAAAAAAAATTTTTTCAGATATAAAATTAGAATAGTATAAAGAACTCCTGTGCAGGCTACGATTTTAGGTACAGTAAGAGAAGCTGTGCTTTTTGTAATTCCGATAAATTTCTCATTGAAGAAAGTGTGGGCCAGTACAGAGGTTCCCTGAATTTCCTATCAGTTCTGAGGCAAAGGAGTCGTGATACTAGTACTACTATTGATAATAGTTATAATAATAATGAAAACTTTGAGAACTCACTGTGTGCTAAGTACTATTCCAGGCTGTTTATTTGTGTTAAGTCATTGAATCTTCACAGCACCCCTTTGATGTACATATAGATGTTATCTCCATTTGACAGATAAGGAAATCAGCCCTCTATAGAGAAATTAAATGACTTGTCCGAGGTCACATTGTGAGTGGCAGAGCATGGATTTAAACCCAGATAATCTAAACTCTTCATCCTCTATATTATGCTGTTGTTATACTGTTTGATTTTAGAGCCTTGATAGCTATGGGGAGTTACATTGAAGTCATATAATAAAGGAGATGGTGCCATAAAAGTTATTTAATCTTAACTCTTTTTACAGCATTGAGAATCTGAAGCCTATTTAGGCTACACAGTTGCAGCCCTGGGACTGGTCTCCAGGCTTGTGGCTTTACTGCTTGTCAGTTCCTCTCACAGAAGAGGTTGTTATAGTTATCAAAGATAGTAGATAAGAATTTTTCCAGTCCTTATAACTCAAGCCATAAATTTGCCACTGCTCTTATTCCTCCAAGGGGCAGGAGACTTGAGACCACAAGTCTGTAACATCAGCTATATATGCTTCATTTTTTGCCAAGTGCTGTAACTTCCCTGAGGACCCAAAGTTTCACATCTAGGATTAGATTGGATGGTATCCAGCTGAAGAAGTACCTAAGACAGTTAAACTGCCAGTGATGGTCCAAGTCATCTAGCACATCCTGGAAGAGGCAGACAGATGCTTTTTGAGAGATGATAATAACTTTTAGAGATGATAGGAGCTTTTCAGCATATCTGGAGACAGATACTTGTTTGGGAAGGAGACTCAGTAGTTGTGATCCCAAATTTTGTGTCAGTATATTGTCTCTTTATTTATTGATTTTTGGGGGGTGGCTGGCCAATATAGGGATTGAACCCTGGACTGTGGTGTTATCGGCACCACACTCTAACCAGCTGAACTAACTGGCCAGCCCCTTGTGTATTGTCTCTTTATAATAGACCCTTTTGGGAGCACCTAATCCATGTGTGTTGACAATTCTAGTGTTTCTTGTGTGGATTTCTTTTATAGTAGAACTTTAGACACCTGTCTAAATAGGGATTTCTGTGAAACATGAGATGGTCATTCTTCAAATTACCCACTCTCCGTGGGTTCCACTGGGTATGTTATTATCAAAGGAACTAATGGGCCATTTTCTCTCTCTCTCTCTCTCAAATTTTTTGAGACATAAAAGCACACTCTGAAAAAGAGTTGTTTTGGTTCCTCCAGATCTGAGCCTGTTACCCACTCTCCGTGGGTTCCACTGGGTATGTTATTATCAAAGGAACTAATGGGCCATTTTTTCTCTCTCTCTCTCTCAAATTTTTTGAGACATAAAAGCACACTCTGAAAAAGAGTTGTTTTGGTTCCTCCAGATCTGAGCCTGCTGTCTTGTCTCTAAATAGTATCCTAGTGCCGATAAAAGGTGCTGGGTAGAGATAACATTGATAACCTTAATGTGTATTGACTTGAAAAGAAAGTGAATTCAGTGCATTGTAGAATGTAGAGCATAGCATGTACAGCCTACGCTAAGTTCGAACTCAGCGATAAGATATGAACATCAGTGTACATTGCATTTTCCCTTCACGGTACCTTTAGGGGTTCAGATGACCAAATGAATGATGCAGATTGAAGTTTAACAACAGTGAAAGTTTCCCCTCAAATTCCCTTGGGGGCATCACTTAGGATGAGAGGTACAGTCTCCTTTTGTTCCTCTCCTTGGCCTTTCTGCTGAGCTCATCTTCCAGAGGGCCCATTAGTTTGTTTGATTGGTAACAGCATAAATGACTTCTCTTACATACCCACTGCTTATTATTGGGATGACCCAGAGTTCATTTTAATTACATAATGCCAACTTGATAACAATACCTGCTTTTTAAAAATCTACATTTTATATAGTTATTTCTACTTAGCTGAATTACTTCCAGAAGGCAAATATAAGGGGAAGGTGACTCCATTATCCTATTTGCTTGTGTTAATTAGCACCACTTTGCATGGGAGAGGGAAACTGTCTTGAGAGCTGTGGATGGAAGAAAAAGCATAAAGCCGTGTTATTGCATTTTATAATTAGCAATAAAGCAAGTGGCTGTTTGTGGTATTCCTAGGGTGGTTGGTAGATTGGAAGTCTTTAGGGAAAATGATGCAGTCTCTCTTTGTTTCTCCAAACTATGCCACGGGGCACTTGTCAAGCTAGAGAGAGAGGGCAGGGATAGTGAGGCTCTAGACTAGAGAGAATTGGTGGCTCAAGCCATACGCTCTATTTTATCTCATTCTGAGATGGCTGTAAGGAACAGTTGGATTAAAAAACTAAATCAGTTTTTTTTGTTGTTTTATTTTACAGTTGCAGCTGTGATCCTTGGCTGTCTGTTGGTGTTGAAGGGACCTGATGTTTTACGTTATTGGTATGTTATAGGAAGAGCTGTCTTTATTATCTTTTTATTAGGGTTGCTTAGGTCCTTTTTGCCTGTCTATCCCTTTTCCCCTTGAAAATAGAGTTAGAAATATTTCTAGTCATGTCAGAATATACCTTCACAGAATTGGCAGTGAAGTTCAGTCATTTGGGAAATATTTATGCATAATTATGGTCAGTGCTAGACACTGTTTACTGTGGAGACAAAGTCAAATAAGGCAAAAATCTGCCTTTAAGAAGTTCATAACATGAAGGGGGAGATGGTTAGGGAGGGGAAAAGTTATAATAGATGAATGTACAGGAGTTTAAGGGAGTCCAGAAGAGGGAACCCCTAACTCTGGGGGTTGGGCAAGGCTTTTGCTAAATGGACAAGGGAGGGGAAGGCTTCCACATGGAGGGAACCAAATGCACATTCTTTTTACTGCTTCTGTGAGGGCCCAGCACATGCAGGAAGGTGGGGGGCTGGGTGGAGCATTATATATATTTCATGCTATAGAACAAGGGTTGGCAAATTTTTTCTGTAAAAGGCCAGAGAGTAAATATTTTTGGTTTCAAAAGCCAAATAGTATCTCCTTACAGCTACTCAACTCTGCCAGTGAGTGTGACGCAAAAGTAGTGATAGATGATTTGTATTAATGAATGGGTGTGGCTATATTCCAATAGAATTCTCTTTATAGAAACAGGCAGTGGGTGGGATTTGGCCTGAGGGCTGTAGATGCTGACCTCATGTATAGAAGTTTCTCTCTTCATCCTCAGAAGTAATGACCCAGTTCATTGTTTCTTTGGCAGTCTTGCAATCTCATCCTGACTTCATTTAATTTTTGAAAGATGGCTAGTCTGTTCCATAATGAGAAGCTGTAATGTGTAACTGTCAGGTGGTTTGTGTGTTCTCTCTTTTACGTAGGTGGAATCACAGTGTCTGTGGTTGCATTCTTCTTCACAATTAAGTTCCTCTTTGAGCTTGCCGCACGTGTAGTCAGCTTCCTCCAGAATGAGGACCGTGAGCGCCGAGGGGACCGGACTATTTATGACTACGTGCGAGGAAATTACCTGGATCCCCGGTCTTGCAAAATCTCCTGGGATTGGAAGGACCCCTATGAGGTGGGCCACAGCATGGCCTTCCGAGTGCATGTAAGGGAATGTTTCTGTCTCCATACCCATTGGGGTTTCTGAGTCATTTGCTTTCCAGATCCTAGTTCAGTCTGCTGGTGGTGCTGGGCTGGGATTTTCACATTTTCCCTTGCTTTTTCAGCTCCTCCCAGGAACTTGGGAATTGTTAATATCTGAAGAGTCACAAATTTCTCTATCCTTTTGGTTAATGGGTACTTAGCTTTGAAGAAGTATAAAGCTTAATGTTACCTTTTCAAAATAAGAAATGCATTACTGAAAAGAGTAGGTGTTGTAGATCAGGAGTTGGGAGACTATGGCCTGAGGGCCAAATGAGGCCCTCCTTCTTTTTCTGTAAGTACTTTTTTGTTAGAACACAGCCACTCATGATCATCATGTATTGACTACGGCTGCTTTCACACTTGAGTATTTATGACCAGTTGGGTAGTTGCATATGGCCCACAAAGCCAAAAATATTTAAATCTGGCACTTTACAGAAAAAGTTTGCCAACCCCAGCGGTGACTTCTCTTTCTACTGTAGCATGTATCTACTCCCCACCTCACTCGCATCTCACACCTTGCCTGGTACTTTAGTTCACTCAGTGCCAATGCTGCATAAATTTGGGTTAGCTTTCGTAATGTAATATAAAAGGCTGGTAAGACTGAGGAGGCAGCATTTGTAGTTCAAAAAGGTCAGGTTGAAATTGATATTTTCTTGATTCAGTGATATATTCTACCCTGTCCTCTGATTAAGTTAAGAATCTGTTCATGATTTAATGATTTTCTTTGGAGTGTTGAGGGAATTTGTTTCTCTGTGTTTCTGTGAGTAGGATTATAAGGAGTGGGTAGGTACTGGCATTTACCAGTGTGCCCTCTGCTAGCCACCTCCTCTCTCCCATGCTCTCTCTAGTTATATGGGAAGTGGTTTTTCTCCCTCTGCTCACTAGTGGGTGCCCCTCTTCTCCCCATTGCAGTTATTCTATAAGAACGGGCAGCCTTTCCCAGCACATCGGCCTGTGGGACTAAGAGTTCACATCTCTCACGTCGAGCTAGCAGTGGAAATTCCAGTGACCCAGGAAGTCCTTCAGGAGCCCAATTCCAATGTGGTAAAGGTGGCCTTCACTGTGCGCAGGGCTGGGCGTTATGAAATCACAGTGAAGCTTGGTGGATTAAATGTGGCCTACAGTCCCTACTACAAAATTTTTCAGCCTGGTAGGTCCTTTTTTCTTTCTTTCTCCCTTCTTTCCCTCCCTCTCCCTCACTCCCTCCATCCCTCATTTCTCTTTTATTTTTTAAAAATAACACCTTTATTGAGATTTAATTCACATGTCATACAATTCATTCATTTAAAATGTATAGTTTAATGGTTTTTCAAAGTCAGAGTTGGGGAGCCATCACCACAGTCAATTTTAGAGCATTTTTATCACCCCAAAAAGAAACTCCATACCAATTAGCAGTCACTTTTTCCCCAAGCCCCCCAGCCCTACGCAACCACTAAGCTATTGCCTCTATGGACTTGCCTACTCTGGACATTTCATATAAATGTAATCATAGAATATGTGGCCTTTTGTGACTGGCTTGTTTTAATATAATCCTTTTAAGATTTATTCATGCTGTAGCATAAATCAGTACTTCATTTCTTCTTATTGTCGTATAATATTCCATTGTATGTATATACCACATTTTATTTATTTATTCCTCAGTTAATGGACATGTGGGTTGCTTCCATTTTTTGGCTTCTATAAGCAATGCTGCTGTGAATGTTTGTGTACAAGTTTTTGTGTGGACATGTTTTTATTTCTCCAGGAGTAGAATTGTTGAGTTAGCCTGGTAAGTTCTTAAGGGATAAGGATGCCAGAATAGACTAAAGATATATTCTTTTGATTTTTGAAAACTTGTCAAGTAAAAACACCTTGACCCTAAACTTGCTGCCAATATGTGTTTTACTTCTTACAGAAGAGTGCCTGCCCAAGCTTCTGGTATCTCAGAATTAAGGCCTTTATCTCTACATTTTTCCCCTCTCATGTCCTTTATGCTACATAACAGATGCTCACTGGTGTTGAAGTCTAGAAATATAATCTCTGACTCTTGGTTCTGCAATCTATAAGGTTTAGTGTCTTGAGATCCTATCTGCCCTGTGTTCCTGCCTGGCTTTCTTTTGAGGATGTCATTATATACTCGCCAGTTTGGTATCTACAGAGATGATAGGACCTTGGGTAAATTTTAGAGTCAAACCCTAATGAGTTGGGCCTTAAGAAGATGTGTGTATCTTTGCTCGACTGGTCCTCAGTTTTTTCCTTTTTCTTATAGCAGAGGAAAGAAGGCTCTGGATAGAGTGACTCCCAAGCCATCTCCCTTTCCATGTATCTCCTCCTTTGCTTGAATACCTCACTCAGAGAATCTTTTCCACATGAATCACCTCACCTGCTTGCCACCAATGGAACAGTTCATATCCTTGTAATACATACCATCCCTTTTTTAAAAATTAAACTTTTTACATTTAGCTAATTACCCCCCCTCCCTCTTTTACCAGAGAAAGAAAAAAAAAGAAAGAAAAAAGAACAACAGACATTTATTTCTCACAGTTCTGGATGCTAGGAGGTTGAAGATCAAGGGGCCAGATGATTCAGTTCCCTGGTGAGGGCTCTATTTCTGGCTTGCAGCCAGCCACCTTCTCACTGTGTCCTCTCATGGTGGAGAGACAGCAGTATCTCTTCCTCTTTTTATAAAGCCACTACAGCCCCACCATCATGACCTCATCTAATCTTAATTACCTCCCAAAGGCCCCATCTCCAAAACCCATCATGTTGTGGGCCGGCCCGTAGCTCACTCGGTAGAGTGCGGTGCTGATAACACCAAGGCCCCGGGTTCGGATCCCATATAGGGATGGCCGGTTCGCTCACTGGGTGAGCATGGTGCTGACAACACCAAGCCAAGGGTTGAGATCCCCTTACCGGTCATCTTTTTAAAAAAAAAAAAAATTAAACTTTGTTTTTTAATTTTAGCATATATTTGTACATATTTTGGGGGTACAGTGTATTGTTTCAATATGTGCATATACTGTACATTGATTTACTTAGGGTAGATAGCATAGCTTTGTACCTGTTAATCCACCCTCCCTCCTCCCCCACCTCCTTAAATTCAACTTTTTATTTTGAGATAAGGTGTATTCATATGCAGTTGTAAGAAATAAGACAGAGGTCTGATACATTCTTTACCCAATTTCCCCCAGGGGTAACATCTTTCTAAACTATAGTACAGTATCACAATCAGGTTATTGACATTAATACAATCAAGATACTGAACATTTCCATCACCACAAGGATCCCTCATGTTGCCCTTTAAGCCACACCTATTTCTCTGTGTTCTGCCCACGTATTTCTTAACTAGTGGCTACCCACTAATCTGTTTTCCATTTCTATAATTTTGTCATTTGAAGAATGTTAAATATATAGAATCATACTATATTATGTAACCTTTGGGGATTGACTTTTTTTCCACTCAGAATAGTTTTCTGGAGATTTATCCAGGTTGTTAGAGTGTATCAGTAGTTGGTTCCTTTTTGCTGAGTGGTATTCCATGGTATGAATGTACCACAATTTAACTATTCACCCACTAAAGGACATCTGGGTTATTTCCGGGTTTGGGCTACTATGAATAATGCTGTAAACATTCGTGTATGGGTTTTTATGTGAACATAAGTTTTCATTTCTCTGATATAAATGTCCAGGAGTGCAACTGTGAGATGTATGGTATTTGCATACTTAGTTGTTTTTTTTTTTTTTAATTGCCAAACTTTCCCAGAATGGCTGTAGCATTTCACATTCTCACCCACAATATGAATGATCCAATTTCTTCACATCCTTGCCAACATTCAATATTGTCACTATTTTTTATTTTAGCCATTTTGATAACTGTCTAGTGATATCTCATGGTTTTAATTTGTATTTCCCATGTAGTTAATAGTGTTGAGCATCTTTTCATATGCTTACTTGTCATCTGTGTATCCTCTTTGGTGAAATGTCTCTATGTCTTTTGCCCATTTTCTAATTGGATTTTTTGGGTTTTTTACTGTTGAGTTTTGAGAGTTCTTTATATATTTTACGTCCTTTGTTAAAAATATATTTTGCAATTATTTTCTCCTAATATGTAGCTTTTCTTCTCATTTTCTTAACAGGGTCTTCCATAGAACAAGTTTTTAATTTTGATGAAATCCAATTTATCCTTTTTTTTTTGGTGGCTGGCCGGTCCAGGGATCTGAACCCTTAACTGTGGTGTTACCAACATTGCACTCTAACCTACTGGCCATCCCATTTTTTCTTTTAAAGCCATGCTTTTGGTGTCTAAGAACTCTTTGCCTAGGCCCAGATCCTGAAGAGTTTTTCCTATTTTTTTTTCTAAAAGTTTTATAGTTTTACATTTTAATT